CATCTGCCTTTGAAACAATATACTAGGAGCCTAGTATATTTTTTAATTTTTATCAACTTTATTTTTTTAAACCGATTTTTTTATTAAAAATTTTGTATTCTTGATTTGTTGTATTTTATATAGATTTTTTTCTTCAATCGTGATTTTTCTCATGGAATATAGATTTACTTATTCAGTAAATTTTTCGAGCAACTTAGCTTTATTTTGTTAAATTTCGATTTGTAAAAAAAATCAATACATATATATTATGATAGGTATATTTATGAAATATAAAATAATTTTTATTAATTATGGATTTTTCTTATCAAACTGGTTTTTATTACATTTAGATTTCTTTATCAAATTAAGAAATTTTTGTTCACATTTTTTTAAAGATTTTTTTTTCATTCATTAATTAAATATAGATTTTTTATTCTATTTAGATATGATTTCATTTATTTAGATTTTAGATTCTGAGTGTATGTATTGATTTTACAATGATGTGTGTTTTTTTATTTTTTTTACTTTTTTTGTCTCTGTGTAAATAATGCTTCGATTTTCAACTTCAGTATCTTGTTCGATTGCAAAGTGAATATCGTTGGTGCATTGGGGAGGTCAAAATTTTCAAAAGCGCCGGGAAAAACAAAAGAAAAATTAAGGAAAAGCGGGAATTTTTACGCAAAATCTGTTTTCGAGAAAATCGATTTTGGTTTTTGGTGTAACTTTAAAACAAATGACCGTTGATACATAAAATTTTCAGTGGTTGTTTATATTTGCATTTTAAATACACGATAACATTTTCAAAATATTTTGATTTATTTTGAACTGTTTAGGGACATTTTCAGTTTCCAATTTTATTTAGTTTATATTCTAAATATATCAATACAATTTTATTTGTTGGTTCAAAAAACTTGAACATTTAATAGAAGGCTCCTAGTATATTGTTTCAAAGGCAGATGAAAAATATTAAAAATCCTTAGTCACAGTTTTTTTTAAAGCATTTAAAGAGTTCAAAAATTGATAAAATATGGAAAAATCATGAAAGTTAGCAAATTATTTTGAGTTAATAATTCTTATAAATTTTTCTTTTTAAATCTAAGATATGATAATGTAATACAAATTAATTATAAGTTTGTCTACCTTATAAAAAAAAAAATGTCCATAAGAAAGTCAAACTAAATTTTAAGAGCGTTTGAAATTCAAATTTTTACAACAATGGATATTCACTCGATTTGTCGTGTAGCGATTTCCTCATTTTGTTGTAATTCAAAAACGAATAACTGTAGATACATGAAAATTTCACTGAATGTTTATATTAGCATTTCCTATACACCATACAATTTTGAAAATATTTTGACTTTTTTTGAGCCGTTTACGGACATTTTCAGTTTTCAATTTTTTTAGTTTTTTTTTTTCTATAAATATCAATAAAGTTTTATCTGTAGGGCCAAAAAGTGTAAAAAATTAATACAAGGCTCCTGATATATTGTTACAATAGCAATTGAAAAATATTAAAAATACATAGGCACAATTTTTTTTATAAGCATTTAAATATCGAATTTTGACAAAATTTATCAAAATCTCGAAAATTATCAATCATTGTAATTAATAAATTATAAAATGTTTAGTTTTTATAGCTAAGGATTGCAAATTTAAAACAAAGGTTCTCATAAAGAGTTCATAATGTAACCAAAAAATCTAAAAAATATAATATGAATACAGTTATTTTTTACAGACATTTTAAATTCCAATTTGGACCAAATTACATATTAAAAAACCTAGAATAACTATTTTAGCTATTTTGTTTTGATTGAATAATATTATTCGAGGGTACTTGAAACTTCTAAAGTGTACTATTATATATCTATGATAGTATCACGGTTTTTGTTGATGTATAACGCGTTATAAGTACCTAATGGATATTGTGATATGATTAATTTGGAATTTATTATAGGTACCTATTATAGGTCAAATTTTGGTTTAGTACCATAGATATGTATATAATATGTCTTATACCTAGACTGACTTACCGTCTCCGCTCAGAATCGTTTTTCTTATACGATGATATTATATCGTTGAATTCAAATTTAATATCATCCATTATACAGTGTCCCACTTGTAACCTACTGTACAGCAGAGCGACACCCACTTGCCCACCTTTTTTAAAATTAAATTATATTTATAGATTTTTTTATCAAATTAATATTTTTTGTCCACATTTTTTTTTTTCAAAATATAGATTTCTTATTATTTATGATAATTCTTTTTATCCTACTTTACATTATACATATATTATTATATGTATAGATTTTTTTTTTAAATTTCAATTTTCCTAAAGTGTCCAATAGCTCAATACCACTTATTTTTGTTATTTGATTTCTAAGTAAATGTATTACAATTTATTTATCCGATTATTACGACTTTACGTGAGTTAACCTAACCTTGAGGTAGAAACAATTTTACTTCAGGTACAAATAGGTACAAACGATGTACAAACGATTCGTATAGGTTTAAACTAGAAATTTTAAGGTGGGGTGCCAGCGTTTTCTCAGCACCTCCACTTTAAAAGTTTGGAATAACTAGAAAACCATTGAGGTACAAGTGATTTTACTTGAGGCACAAACAGGTACAACGAGTACAACGAATGGTATGTGTTTAAACTCAAAATTCAAAGCTGGGGGTGATAGCGTTTAATCAACATCCCAACCTTAAAAATTTCGAATAACTAGAAAACCGTTAAGGTACTAACGATTTTATTTGAGGGAACGTTTCCTCGAACCCCCAAAATCGAAGTAGAGACAGTTTGAAAACCGTTGAGGTACAAACATGTACAATCGAGGTACAATTGTACAAACGATTGGTATAGGTTTTGAATCAAAATTTGGAAGTAGGGATGCTGGGAACATGAAGCGCATGACAAAAGAAATAACTGATGACACACACTAATGTTCATTTACTTCTCACACGTAACATAGCCTAAAATCAAAAATCCCAAATATAGGTACATGTCATACAAATTGCCTAAATATACTACTCATACCGCAGACCGCAGTCAAGATGCGGATAGGTTATGGATATTGAAGCTGCTAAAACTAAAACGTAAAAAATTAACTAATTAAAAATAAAAAGTTACTGTGCATAGTTAAAATAATTAATAGACATACACACTAATTGGACTTCAAATTAAATGACTGCCACCGTATTAATTATGATATAACAATTGTTATATCATAGTATTAATTATTAAGCCTAGAGAGCCTAGATAATAAATATAGGTAGGTATATAAAGGCTCTCTAATTAAACTTATTAGTAGGATACAGCAGTAGGCTACCTAGTTTATTGTACATATCTGTGGATACAAGATGTCCCGTAAGGAATAAGGATTAACCCATTGCTATATCTCCTGAGATACCTAATTAATATATCATAAATCTATTTTTAAATTAATTATCAATTTACCTATACCTAACACATTCATTCAATAAGTCAATAAATAACATAACATAAGACAATTCGATTGTTGATGGGTATAACATTTGTTTGATATTAATGTACAGAGGCAGATTATCTGGAAGTACCCTAATAAGCTGATTGTTTTGTCCATAGGTGTAATCTGAGGGGAGACTACCCCTTTAACTGGGTGGGCAATAGTGTCATTTAACATTTTGTCTTATAGATTTTTAGTTTTACCAGTTTTGAAAACCCTGCCAAACCAAAAAAAATGTACCTACACTCTGGACGGAATAAGAACGTACCCGGGCGGCAGATCAAAACAAGTTTGATGCGCGCAGATCATAGTTATGACTATAACTATATGTTTATAACTATGACAAGGTTACGGACGGGAAACCGGTCGCCGCCTGCGCGACGAGGTACGTTCTTATTCCGCCCAGAGTATAGGATTAAGCTTATGGTTATGTCATAGTAGACCCAAGTAGAGATTTGATTAGATATAAGGCACATAACACCTACAACTATTTAAGTGATATCACATTATATGATAATATACAGGGTAAGTATGAATAATTATTAGGCAATCTGCTGTTTTATACTTGTGGGAGTATATTTTATATATCATTTTTAATTTTTGCAGTAGGTGCTAGGTACTTATCAATAATAGTAAACATACCTATTATAATCAATTCCACACTATAATTTCTTAAGTTGTTTATAGTTATTCAAATTACAAATTAAAAAAAAAGTTCAACAAAAACAAACTAAAATTAGATAAATGGACTGAACAATTTATTATTTTACCAAATATACATAAATAAAAAATAAATACCAAATAAAACAAAACAATATACACAAGAAAATATTATAATATTTTATTCAGTCACCAAACACCGCAATTTAGAAAACCCAGTTGTAATTAGTTATCAACTATCAATGTAGGTATGATTCCAGCCTCCAGGTTGCATAAATAATAAATTAACATTTAATGTTTTTTTTTAGTAATTAGTAGTGAAGTAATGGAGTTTAATGGCCCACAATTGGTCCATTAAAATTGAGTGAACCATTAAATCAGGGATGTCAAAATCAAAGTATTAACTGGGTCAAATATATTGAATCGTTATTATTATGTTTATTGTGCGGCCTATATAAAAATGTATTGAATAAAAAATGTGTTTACAAATTTTAAATTGTATTCATTATACTTTTTATACTTACAATACTATACAATACTCATTAAATTACAGTTAATCAGAAGATAAGACAGAAAAGTAATATAATGTATACCTCTCATTAACATAAATGTGACACAAATAAGAAAAATATATAATTTTTTTTTCAAATAATTGTTCATTAATAGTGGTATCAATGGGCCATAAAAAAAATGAGCAGAGGGCCACGTGTTTGACATCCCTGCATCAAATGATTCAATTTTTTATCCAACTCAACTTACAGTATTTAAGTATATAAATAAAACGCATCCTGATATTTCAATAATTCGATCTTGACTGTTTAAATTCTTAATTAAAAAAAAAAAAATTACAATGCAATAACTTAAATTATACAATTAAAGTCTGGACGTCATTCCACCCGATGCTACAATTACTTCACCAGTTATAAAGGAAGAAGAGGGTGAACAAAGAAATGATATAATAGAACCAATTTCCTCAGGACGACCAAACCTAAAAAAAAATTATTAATTATTATAAAATTATAAATTATAGTTGGTATTTTATAATAATTAAAGGGGGAAATATTACCTTCTAATAGGTATTCCTTGTAATAAATGTTCACTGAGCGATTCATTTTCTGTAAGCTAAAATATATATAAACATAAATGCTCTCATTAATATAATTGTTGTTTTACTAGTTCTAAATAACTAATTACACTTAAAAATAATGTTAGACACTTGTTTGAAATGTAATTAGTTATATTTGTGTATTTACTTTTTTTCTAAAAAAAAATATCATTAATTACATAATAAATGCTAATCTTGTCTGTACTAATTGCAACTCTGTATTCTAGTTAGTATTTGAACATTCTTATCACCATAATAATATTAAAATTATATCATAATTAATAGAATTATTGAGAGATCAATACGATTAGGTAAACAAATTGTTTGCCTCTTCATTAATTTGACAAATTGTTTACAAAACTATGTAAATAATAATTTTATAGTCATCCTGTATTTTTAAATATCATACATTGTATACATAATTTTAAAAATATAAATACTACCTACCGATGATGCAAATTTTGTTTTAACAATACCAGGAGCTACACAATTGACTCTTATGTTATTCTCTGCCAAATCCATAGCCACTACTTTTGTCAAACCAAGAAGTGCCGTTTTACTAACAGAATATGCTCCCAACATCTGTAACATGTATTTGCATTTATAAGAGTAACACAACTTTGTATGAAATGTATTTATTTAGTTAAAATTTTATAAATATATTAATTTAAATATTTTACCGGCATTGGATTAACACCAGCTATTGAAGAGACATACACAATTGAGCCTCCACCTCTAGAAATCAGATGTGGTGCTACTTCTTTTGTTAACATAAATGCACTTTTGACATTAACATCAAATATTTTATCCCAAATTTCTTCATCACACTAATTCACAAACATAAATTATTAGTTTTGCTCTTCTATTTTATTTATTATAAACATTTAAAATGCATTATAATTTATAAGAAAATCAAATCTTACATCTAATACTGAACCTGATGTAGGATTTGTAGCAGCATTTGATACAAGAATATCAATTCCACCGAAGATTTTAATAGTCTAAAAAAAATGTATAAACATGTACTTATGGAACATTTAATTTGCAGAAAAAATAATCAATTTACCTATTTAACAACATAATAAAAATAAATAAATAATAGTAAGATACATTTTAAAAATAAAATAAAATATAATATTAAACATTTAAGGTTGTTTAATAGGTAGATGTATAATATTTATACTACTATTTATTTTTACTTTATTATTAAAATAAATATTTTAGAATTTATATTTATTTATTTATTTTTAACTGTGTTATTTGAAATTATTGGTACTGGTTTAGTTGACGCCTACCAAGAAAGTATTCTCCTGCCACTTAGGTTTAGTTGATGCCCTTAACTTACCTGTATATTTTGTATTTTCAATGTTCTAATCATCATATTGTATTTATACTTTATAGTTTATAGTTTATACATTTAAAATTAAAATAATAATAAAAATAATAGTACAATATAATACATAGAAAAATACTTAAATACTTTAATAGTTTAATCAATGATGAAATAAAATAAAATACATTTTGGCTGCCATCAACAAACCCGAAAGGCAGATGAATTATCTTTTTGGAGGGCGTCAACTAAATTAGTACCAAATTATTATTTAACTTTGACTTTCGAGACAAATCCAATAGTTGTATTAGTTTAAATATATTAACTATGTTTTTATTCTATAAATATTTAAATGTTTTTTCTTATTTATTAAGATAATACTCAAATCTATACTAAATCAATACTAATATTATTTCCATATTATTTACTATTTAGGTTTGTTAAATGATGATAAATTTTTAAAAAAAATCTATAAATCTGAAATATAAATAGCTAGGTACATTTTAAATATTAATTGTGATAAGACTACCTATGTAAGCTGTATAATCTGCTAAGAATTAATGAAATATTATATAATTAATATTTACTTCTTGAATTAAATTATTTCTATCTTCTTTTTTTGATACATGACATACAAGTCCTTTAACTTTGTTGATACCATATTCTTTTTGAAGTTGTTCCAATGCAATTTCTACATTGTTTTTCTTACGGCTGGAAATCATGATAGACGCTCCATCGCTGACCAATTGCTTAGCAGCAGCAAAACCAATCCTAAAGAATGTTATTTAATGTTAAAATTATTATAAACACAAGGCTACAATTAATTATAATTCAATTTTTACCCATCAGTAGATGCAGTGATGATAGCTACTTTTCCTCCCAGCGGTTTGGCGATGTTTGAAAACATTTTCTTAATCTGTATTCCAAATGAAGTAACAATCGGCCTGCTAAATTTGTGAACACAATTCATTGAGAAGCGTTATTATAAGTGACCTAAATAATTTTTTTAAATCCAATATTATCTATTCAAAATTCAGTTTTTTTAATCGTACTCTAATTTGGCAGTCTTTGAATTCACAAACAATTTGTGGCTGATATATTATTATGAGTTATGACTTGGTGAATTATTGGCAAAGACCATCAGTGGTAAAAAAAAAAAAAAATAATAATAATGATTACTATCACACCTACCTTTACGGTTTTTATTCATTCGAAAGTGGGGCAAAATGCCATTAATTGCTCATCAATTGTATTGCTTTTTTTATATACCTATAGTCTATAGAGGCTCTCTAGTCTCTATCTATTACCAGTTGTAACTTGTTAGCTGCAGACAGCAGTATCATAACTCAAAGGTTAATTACATTTGAGATTACCATTAACTTTCTTCTTAGATAATTATTATTAATAATAATATATATCTATGACTTTCTCTGACCATCTTATCACAATAAAATATTGATAAACTTATGTTTAGTCACGATTAAAGATATACCTATACATCGTGGTAACAATCATCCATGGTCGTGCAAGTAATCACACGGATTCGCATTCTATAACAATTCTATCTAGGCATCTGGCATTCTGGCTATTTTTTATTTATCTAAAGTCATGTTTAATAATTACTACTTACTACTAATGTCTAATTTATTGTATGGTAGAGGACGTTAAGGATATTTTGGAGTTTTTGACTGTAAAATATTGAAAAAATTAACTATTTTTTTTTAACAGACAAATAGACAATCGACAAAACGACTGGAAACGATAGATTAAACAAGATAAGGGTATCACTATATCCATAGATTATTATTATTGTTATTATTATTATTATTATTATTATTATTATTATTGTTCTGTGCTTCAGTTTCTTAAAAAAATAAACACTGCTATCTTTTTGCAAATTAACTATAATGATTACATGATAACAATCTCTTCCAAAATAAATCGTAATGATTCGTCTTCCGACTTCCTCGTCAATTACATTAAAATATGAAACAAAAAGCAATAATAATATTATAGTCTTAAAGAAAAAAACCTAAAGGCTGAAATTATGGTTTTCGAAATAATTAATTCCTTTACTCATACAAATTCGAGTTTGTAATTTATGTAGTAGTGGTTTTAGTCATGATTGACATTCATATAAACAAATTAAAACTGAAAAAAATGATTATCCGAAATAAAACTCTAATTAAATTATTTTTTCTCTTAATTTTTTTTACAATTATTCTGTATGTAAGCAAGTATAATTTTAATAATAGATATGAATTTGTGAGAGGTAAAGACCTTTTAGAACAAGCAATTCAAGCAGCTAAATTGGGTGGAATTCAAGTTGAAGCGATCCATAATGAACATTTGATTAATTCCCAATCAAAAGGAAAAACTGTTGAAGGTGCAAATGATCCAGTCACTAACGCTGATTATACTTCTCATTGTGCTATGTATTATCAGTTGAAAAAAAATATACCGAACGTTAAAGTATGTACCTATGTTTATACTTCTCAAAAAAATTTAAATATATTCACTACCTATATAGATTTAGTCTTTTTTTTTTTTTAATTTTTTGAATTAAATGAAAATTTACAATCTGTACAAGCAAGTACATTAGAACAATCAGTAAATGAGTTTAATACAATGAGGCTGTTCAAATAGAAAATATTGAGTGGGAATTTTACATTAGAAACATCTGAACATGAGTGGTAAAAGCTAAGGGCCGATTTCACCAACACAGTTAATCACGGTTAAACTTTGATTACGCTTAATCGGCTGATAACAGATATTTAACCTAGCAAATTCGGCCGATTAAACTCCTATTAACTTTAACTGTGTTGGTGAAATCGGCCCTTATTGTCTTATGTAAACATATTTGATAATTAATGATCTCATGTATTTAATGTTAATTATCTACTATATAAGCTTACAGAAGTCTATGGATGAGGTTTATGAATTAAGAGTTATCTACACGGATATATATTTTATTCATACACCATCTTACCTGCAACTTGTAAGTATTGATAAAGCTTAAATATTTTATAGGTGATATCAGAGGAAGAATTATCCGAAAAAGAATGCAAAAAGTTAAATATAAGAAATCTAAAAAATTATGATAACGAACATATAACAAATATTGAAGAAGAATTTGAGAGAAAATATATAACCATATGGATAGATCCATTAGATGCAACACAAGAATTCACCGGTAACCACAAAAACTGTTTTAAAATCTTAGAATTAGATTTTAAAACTTATAAGTTTTGTTTGTTTTTTTTTCAGAAAGCTTGACACAATATGTAACAACTATGGTCTGTGTTGCTTATAAAGGTAAACCTATTATGGGTGTTATACACGAGCCGTTTTCGTCTAAAACAACATGGGCTTGGTTATCAAGATCAAGATCAAATAATTTCAACAATATTAAAGTAATTTAACAATAATAATTATAATAGTAGGTATATTGAATTGTATATTAGGAAATATGTATTACTTATTTTACTTAGGTATTTAGGCTAATGTAATATAATAATATAATTATATTCTAAAAAATAATTCTTTATTTTTTATAAATTTAGGTATCAGTAATAATTTTCACTTACAATAAGAACTGTATAATAACCTGAATTATCCCGAATATTATTTAGAATGGGATAAGATCATATCTTATCACCAGATCTGTGTAACCAAATTATATACATAGTGGATAGATAGTATTTTAAAAGAATTTTTATATCTTCAGTATAAATTCACCTGGTGAATATAAAAGCTCCTTCAAACAGAGAGCGGGCTGCTATGGTATATGAGTACTCGGATCTTGGCGGACAGCGGTCTGGTTGTATTATTTTTCAGTGCCTGCTTTCTGTTTGACTGAGCTTTAATTCAGATTTTATATTTACATAATATGCAAATTATTCTTTATAGCTTATTGTATAACAAATAGTTTTTATTTCATATACTTAAGTATATTTTATTTCTGTAATTAGGTTCCTAAGAAAAGATCAATTATTATTTCAAGATCACACAAAGGTGATGTAATGGGTCTATTAAATCAACGGTTATATGGTTTACCAGTTGTAACAGCCGGAGGTGCAGGATTCAAAGTATTACAGGTCTTGTTTGGAAATTCGTCAGCTTATATACATACAACCAACATAAAAAAATGGGATATATGTGCTGGACATGCTATACTCAAAAGTATAGGAGGTGATATGACATCGTTGGAAAATGAAGATATTACATATGAAAAGTATACAAGTATGATGCATGTTGGAGGTATATTAGCTACTGCACGTGATCATTTGTACTATATAAATGCTCTAAAAAATGGAAGAAGTGATTAAAATATTATATAATAGTTTTGTACATTTATTTCCTTTGAATGTAAAACTTAAAGACAATAAAGTAACAACTTTCATTCATTGAAGTATATCATATAATTTAGATTACTTTTGATTTGTGTTTAAAAGTACATTTTTGTAATTTGAATATAAGTATGATTTTTTTTTTCATTTAGATTAACTGATGTTATGTTATCTTATGCATCTAAAAACCATTACAACATTAATTGTTATTTACGATTTAAAAGTGTTCTGCATAAACCAAGATATTTCCTAAGTAATAAATTAAACAATCATATTGATAGAATCAAATATTAAGTGTTTGGATATTATGTTATAAATAACTTTTTTGTTATGTATGGTTTTCCTCAATCAACATATATACTCATTGATTTTGGATATATACATTGACTATGGCTGATAGATTTATAAGTAATAAGATAAAAAGTTTTATTTCTGTCATATATATTCTGAGTTTCTGTCTTAAACTCTAGTCATGACTGCTCTCTGCAAGTAGCTACTTCAAAAATTGTGACGAATTATGAGTAAAGCAGCTTATGCAACATTTTATACTAATACTAGCTGACTCGACAGACGTTGTCCTACATCATATTTCAATCATTCCTCCACGAGATGGGCCTACCGGGTCCAATTGTGAATCTAAAACATTCTAGAGCCCACTAAAGCACACGCAAAAAAATTTCATCAAAAGCGGTCCAGCCGTTTAGGAGGAGTTCGCTTACAAATACATGTACAGTAGAATTATATACATACAGATAAATAAAAATAAATAATTAAATACCTTCAAATTAATCTAAATATTTTTAAAATGTCATTGTGTATACCAATTCATTTCAAGGCCGTATCTGAGGGGGTCTAGGCACGGTGCCAAGGGGGTAGCAAGAAGGGGCTCTGAAACAGTTCAGTCCCCTCGCCAGCCCCCCTCCACCACTGAAAAAAATGTATGATGTAATAAAGTCATAATACTTTATTCTTAAAACATTTTTAACTATTCAAAAGTTTGTACATATTTTCTGTTAAGACTTTTAGAGCATACAATATAAAAACTTGTGTACTATATAGCTAATAGCTATATTATGTTATATGATACGAAAATATTTATATTTTATTTAAATAACCTCAGTATTTGTTAAAAAAAACCTTAGCCCATGTAAAAAAAATATTTGCCCCACTCTGCCCCCCCCCTGGAATAAAATTCTAGTACCGTGCCTGGTCTTAATATCATAACCTAAATTCAATAATATTACAATATACATGTTTTGGACCACTCCGGAAAAAAATTCTGGTTACGTCCCTGATACATTTTAATACTATATTTAAGTTTCAAGTACCCACGAATAATATTTTTAAATGTCAATAAAGTAACTAAAATCGTTACCTATTCTTTGTTTTAAATTATATTTTGTCCAAATTGGAATTACAAATGTCTATAAAACATAATATTATGTTTAAGATTTTTGGGTTACATTATAAGATATACTATTTATGGGAATCTATTGTATTACATTTTAAAGTCATTAAGTCATACCATTGATTATAAATACTAAAGATCGCTGGGTCATACCTATAAAAATTAAAAATTGAAAAAAAAAGTTTTCATGTTTTTAAACTAGGTACCTACTCTAGCATGTCCGGACACCACGGTCCGCAATCGAGGGTGACATTGTCGCAAGAACACGTTTGCACAGCTAGAGCTATTGCTATATAGTTATAGCTAAAAGCTAGACTATAGCTACACTATAGTATAACAGATTTATTTCAATATTTTATAATATTTAATACCTATAAACAAATTAGGAAAATCATCAGTGCGAGCGCCGAGTGTGCTAAATTCCCGGTTTCTAAACGTTTTAAACAATAAATTCTAGTTCCATATATTATATACAATGATTATACTAATATACTATTATTATTAATAATATAAAAGTTTAACGTGAAGGTACATAGGAACATTTTTTATGAGTGATTGAATTTAAAATGTTGAAAACATGTCATCCACTCATTCTTCAAACCCTCAAGGCTAAAGGTGGGTTTTGATTCTTGTTTCGTCAGTAGGTTAGTAGGTACAATAATATGTGATTACACATAATATTTCACATTATGTTTAATTTAATATTATATAAACTTTATATTATAAAGCACTCAACAAACTATAACGATACATTGTTGACAATAATATCATAGGTAGTTTATTTATTAATTTATCAGCATTTTGATAGGTAATAGATCATAATGTTATTTAGTATTTCAGTAATTTTTACAAAAATAATTATTTTGTCACACCTAACACCTGCACCGGAAGTTTAGATTTTGAGGACGGTTAAAGAGTTGGAAAGCGAACTTTTTCCGTCCAGCGGGTGGTAAAGTGAGAATCCCAAAAAGTGCTGGGCGCGCGCATATCACGCTTATCCCCTGCACAACCAGACACTGAAAACTATACCACGGTCCTTATAAAACATGAACTTTTGGTTACATCTTATATTCATATTATAATACATTATCCCCCAAGCTGTATTTATAAATAATTTTATACTGTTAAACAAAATTACAAAAAAATCATCTACATTTTCTGAAAATTATGACTTGGACCCCCTCCCCACCCCAAAACCATGTAACTAGACTACTAGAGCCGCCCCTGTACCTACTGAATATATAATATAGTATTCTCGTGTAAATACTATTTAATCAATTCATTATTTTTGTGTATTCTGCTTATTTAACAATATTAATTGTTACCTACATATTTTTCGTGGCTAAAGTGCACTTTACCACCCCATGCATATTTTTCGATTTTTTTTTTTGGAACTTATGTAACTCATCGAGTTAAGAACGATGGTGCAATCAGAATTTGTCGCTCTCACTTAGTTTTGAAGTTATGGCCCTTGGAAGTAAGCAAATTTGAGTTTTTATACGCATGAGCGCAACGCTACGTGTCACGTCTTTCCCGATTTTTTTTTTCTTATTCGTGAGACTACTAAATAAAAAAAGGTGGGCAAGTGGGTGTCGCTCTGCTGTACAGTAGGTTACAAGTGGGTCACTGTATAATGGATGGTATTAAATTTGAATTCAATGATCTAATATCATTGTATAAGAAAAACGATTCTGAGCGGTGACGGTATGTCAGTCTAGTATAAGACATATTATATACATATCTATGGTATTAAACAAAAAATTGACCTATAATAGGTACCTATAATAAATTCCAAATTAATCATATCACAATATCCATTAGATACTTATAACGCGTTATACATCAACAAAAACCGTGATACTATCATAGATATATAATAGTACACTTTAGAAGTTTCAAGTACCCACGAATAATATTATTCAATCACAACAAAATAACTAAAATAGTTATTCTAGGTTTTTTAATATGTAATTTCGTCCAAATTTGAAATTAAAATGTCTGTAAAAAATAAGTGTGTTTATATATTTTTTAGATTTTTTGGTTACAGTATGAATTATTTAAGAGAATCTTTGTTTTAAATTTTCAACTCTTAGTTATAAAAACTGAACATTTTATAATTTTTTAATTCCAACGATTGATTATTTTCGAGATTTTGATAAATTTTGTCAAAATTCCAACTTTAAATGCTTATAAAAAAAAATCGTGCTTATGTATTTTTAAAATTTTTCAACTGATATTGTAACAATATATAAGAAAGCTTGTATTCAATTTTCAGACTTTTTGGCCCACCAAATAAAATTTTATTGACAATTATAAAAAAAAAAACTAAAAAAATTGAAAACTGAAAATGTCCGTAAACGGCTCAAAAAAAGTCAAAATATTTTCAAAATACATCCAATGTTGTAAAAATTTTAATTTCAAGCGCTCATAAAAATTTAACTTGACTGTCCGGTAGAGATTTTTTTATTGATAAAGGTAGATAATCTTATAAGGAATCTTGTGTTTCATTTTCAAATCTTAGATTTAAAAAGAAAAATTTTTACGAATTCTTAACTCAAAATAATTTGCTAATTTTCGTGATTTTTCCATATTTTGTAAATTTTTGAACTTTAAATGCTTATAAAAAAAAATTGTGACTAAGGATTTTTAATATTTTTCATCTGCCTTTGAAACAACATATTAGGAGCCTTCTATTAAATTTTCAAGCTTTCGCAACCAACAAATAAAATTTTATTGATATTTCTAGAAAAAAAACTAAAAAAAAATGAAAAATGAAAATGTCCCTAAACAGTTCAAAATAAATCAAAATATTTTGAAAATGTTATCGTGTTTAGAAAATGCAAATATAAACAACCAGTGAAAATTTCATGTATTTACGGTCATTTGTTTTAAAGTTACACCAAAATCCAAATTTGATTTTTTGGAAAATCGATTTTGCGTAAAAATTCCCGTTTTTCCTTAATTTTTATGTTGTTTTTCCCGGCGCTTGTGAAAACTACTGGGAAATTTATACTTTTGACCCCCCAAAGTACCAACTAGATTCACTTTCCTATCAGAAAAGGTACTATTGAAGAAAATCGAAGCACTTTTACTGTCCCAAAACGTGATGACAGACACAAAAATATAAATAAAAATATATATAAAAATATAAATAAAAATATAAAAACATACATCATTGTAAAACCAATACATTCATCGCTCCGCTCAGAATCTAAAAAAATATAAAAACATACATCATTGTAAAACCAATACATTCATCGCTCCGCTCAGAATCTAAAATAAACGAGTGAACAAACACGGGACTAAGAGAGGTCAACTTCACTAGAACGCAGCACTTGACGTAATGACATTTTAATTGTGTATTAAAATATAGTTTCTTTAATAATATAATATAATCTAAAATCGTATTTATAATTGAATGATTATTATAATTAATTATTATCAGGTAGGTAGGTAGTAGGTACCTACTATAGGTATAATGCGAGAATTTATTTAAACCAGATTGACTATTTCTACTTCCAGGAGAGGAACATTTTTAACTGTGAAATGTGAAAATGATCGTTGATTCGGT